CCCACGATCTGCCCCCCAGCTCCTCCGTGTGCATCCTGACACCCACGATCTGCCCCCCAGCTCCTCCGTGTGCATCCTGATACCCCGCAACTGCCCCCCAGCTCCTCCGTGTGCATCCTGATACCCCACAACTGCCCCCCAGCTCCTCCGTGTGCATCCTGACACCCGCAATCTGCCTTTCTGGCTCTGACCAATGCAGTGGGTGTGTGGTGGTTTTGACCTTTGTTTCCCTGATGACTACTGATGCTGGGCATCTCTTCCTGTGCTTCTTGAACATTTGGATATCCTCTTTTGAGAAGTTTCTGTTCAGATCTTCTCTTTTTCTTCCCCTCCAAACGAGTTGTTAGAGTGTATGGATTTATAGTCAGTTCATATATTTTGGTTACTAGTTCTTTGTCTTCTAATGATCTTTTCCCAGTCCATAATTTATATTTTTACTCTCTCGGTGAGGTCGCTAACTTTAATTAAGTGCATTTGTTTCCTGTTCTTTTGTGAGAAATCTTTGCCTGCCCATGGTCATGCAGATATTCTGTGTTTCTTCCAGAAGCTTGATTGATTAATTTAACCTATTATATGCAGGTCCACAATCCATCTTGAATTATTTTTGTGTATGGCATGAGGTAGGAACCAAGGCTCGTTTCCCCCATGCGGATACAGAGAGATTACAAATGCTTTCTCCTCTTCACCATGCACGTTTTTTTCTATTTGAACTTTTAAAATCAGTGGACATTACTTTTGCAATCTAAACAAAACGTATTTTTTATAAAACATGCAGAAGAAATAAATTGGGAGAAAGCACAGCCCTCTGCAGGCCCCCCAGCGGGGCGGGGGCGGAAGGGACCGTGCCCTTCACACAGCCCCCTGGGAGTGGGAGGGGGCACCCGAGCTGATCTTTAATGAGCATCTTCTCCTGCAGACCGAGCTTGCTGCCCACAGATGCCCCCTCCCCATCCAGCGGAGCAGCACGCCCCAGCACCAAGCCCCGCGTGAGGCAGCAGAGATGGCTCTGGGCCCCGAGCCAGTGAGCAGGTCCCCCGAGCTGGCTGCGACGGGCAGCCCTGTGCCCGAACCGTCTGGTGCCCCCAACGCATCCATCAATGGCTCCTGGGCCGGCACAGCGGAGCCCAGCTCCCTGGAGGACCTGGTGGCCACTAGTGCCATTGGGGCAGCGCTCTCGGCCATGGGCGTGGTGGGTGTGGCAGGCAACGTGTACACGCTGGTGGTCATGGGCCGCTTCCTGCACGCCTCGGCCTCCATGTCCATCTACGTCATCAGCCTGGCGCTGGCTGACCTGCTCTACCTGCTCAGCATCCCCTTCATCGTGGCCACCTATGTCACCAAGCAGTGGCACTTTGGCGAAGTGGGCTGCCGGGTCCTCTTCAGCCTGGACTTCCTGACCATGCACGCCAGCATCTTCACCCTGACCGTCATGAGCAGCGAGCGCTATGCCGCCGTGCTGAGGCCCCTGGACACAGTGCGGCGCTCCAAGGGCTACCGCAAGATCCTAGCTCTGGGCACGTGGCTGCTGGCCCTGCTGCTGGCCCTGCCCATGATGCTGGCCATCCGGCTGGTCCGCAGGGGCCGCAAGAGCCTCTGCCTGCCAGTCTGGGGCCAGCGTGCCCACCGCACCTACCTGACGCTGCTCTTCGGGACCAGCATCGTGGGGCCCGGCGTGGTCATCGGGCTGCTGTATGTGCGCCTGGCCCGGGCCTACTGGCTGTCCCAGCGGGCCTCCTTCCTCCAGACGCGGCGGCTGCCCAACCCCAGGGTGCTCTACCTCATCCTGGGCATCGTGCTGCTCTTCTGGGCCTGCTTCCTGCCCTTCTGGCTGTGGCAGCTGCTCACCCAGTACCGTGGGGCCCAGCTGCTCACGCCCCGCGCCACGCGCATCGTCAACTACCTGACCACCTGCCTCACCTACGGCAACAGCTGCGTCAACCCCTTCCTCTACACGCTGCTCACCAGGAACTACCGCGAGCACCGGCGACGGCCGCCCCGCCCCCGGGGAGTCAGCCGGCCCGGGCGTGCCGGCCCCTTCCTGCCACGTCGGGTCCGCTTCCAGCGCGGCTCCGGCCGCTCGCTGTCCTCCAGCGGCCAGCAGGCCACCGAGACCGCCACAGCGTCCCAGGCGGCCTCGAGAGTGGTCTGCGCCTGAGAGTCCCGCGGCCCCACACGAACGCTGGGGTCGAGGGTGGGAGGGGGCCCGAGTCCAGCGGGCAGCCTGCCCCCAGAGCCCCTGTGACTTAATCTTCTTCCAGAAAGTTCTCTGCTCTCCCTTCTGCTTGGCTCAGTTCAGCATCATCAGCCGTCTCCCTTGTGATGCCTGAAGGCCCCACTCCCAGACCACCTAGGAGGTTCTGTGGGAGGCTCAGGCCCAGAACCAGCTTCTGGAGATCGCAGCAAGCAGAGTCTCCACCATCCACAGCAGGAGACGTGAGTGCCAGCCAGTGCCTGCTGTGAGCCGTGGCGGCACACTCCTCTCCTGACTGGGGTGTGGTCCCTGTGGCACCAGCCCCGCCCCTGTCCCTGTCTGTGCTCCCGACCATTCTGCGCAGTGTCAGCATTGGAACAATAAACCCTGAGCTCAGCACCCTTGTCCCGCCTCAGTGTACGGATGGCATGTTGAGGGGTGGGGGAGGCCCTTCAGCACGAGGAGCCTGTCGGTCTGGCTGGGGAGGATGCACGTCTTCCTTGGAGGCTTTGCTGGTGGCTGGTCCAGCTGTCTGGACATGGTGGGCAGGTGCCACCCGGCCTGAGCCAGGCCCCAGGGTGTGGGGCTGAGACCCTGCGGCAAGGTAGGAAAAGACGGGCCCCAGCTTGCTCAGGGACGAGGGGGCAACTGGGTAATAGCATTGCAGGCCAGGAACTGGGGGGCGGGGGGTTCAGATCACACCCCTTCTCAGCCTGGGGATTTATCTCATGCCTCCTGGGGACACTGAGGCCATCAGGCTCTGCCCGCAGAGAGCCCATGGGGAAGGGTTCTAGACCTCTCCCCACCCCCAGCAGCCTGTACACCCTGTGGCTCGGCAGGTCTGGGGCCACTGGCCCCACTTAAGACCCCAAATGCTTTCGGAAGGAAATGGCCTGAAGTTTACACCTTGACCGAGACCCCAGGTCTTTGCTTGCCAAGTCCTGATTTTAGGATGTGCCAGGAAGCCCTAGCTTCGGAGACCAGACACCCCCCAAAGCGTCCCTGCAGCCCCCATTCATCTGGACATGAGAATGTTTTGCACCATTTCTTGGAGCGATGCTGAGGAAGTTACATTTTTAAAATTTAAAAAAAATTTTTTTTAAGTAGGCTCCATGCCCAGTGTGGAACCCAAAGCAGGGCTTGAACCCATGACCTTGAAAACAAGACTTGAGCTGAGATCATGAGCCAGACGCCCAGGCACCCCAGGAAGTTACATTTTTTTTTACCCAAAACTTAAGACCTGAATTGATGCACCCTCTGTGTCAGAGGGGACCTGAGTGTCCTGGTTAGTGCTCCCAGGGACACCCAGTTGTGCCGAGCAGCAAGCAGAGGGAATGGTGGAGGCAAAGGGCAGGCAGGGGCTCCGGGTCCCTATGATGGCTTGGGGGACAGAGATGAGACTGGGAGCTGGGCGGTGTCCTGACCCCAGAGGCCTTGCACGGGGGACGGGGTTTATCTGAGACGGTAGTGGAGGCATGGAAGGACTTAGAGGCCACCAGCTGGAAGGTAGGCCACAAGCCCCTGCTTCTGGGGTCAGGAGAGGCCAGGCAAGGGGAGTAGCACAGGGCAGCGCGGGAGCTAAGCTATTCTGGGAAGTCGGCAGAGGGCTTCTGGCTGGGGGGGTGGGGGGCTGGTCCTGACTCACTGCAGGGGCCAGGGCACATCCTTGAGGGGAAGGGAGGGAGCCTGCAGGTCCTGGGAGAGGGGTGAGGCTACAGACAGACACACACTCATCCACACAGAAGCGGGGCAGGAGTTCCTGGGACCCACCTCCGCGGAGGAGGGAGGAAGAGCCCCAGGAAAGCAATTTCGCTGGAGGGCTGATCGGAGCAGGGGAGACACATGGGCCAGGTCCCTGCAGGCTGAGCTGGGGCGCAGGGGCCCTTTGGAAATACAAGACGGAGGTCCTGGCCCTGTGCAGACAAGCTTCGCCTTTGCCCAGCTGGGCTTGGGACCCCTCTCGGTGTGTCTGTCTGTCTCCCCCATCACTCAGGGCCAAGCCTGTGCTGCCCACCTCACGGCATAGATCCTTGAGCACGGGCCGCGTGGGTTGGCTGCCCCAGGACAGTCTGTTCCATCCAGGCCTCCAACGCCCGGGACCCAAGATGGCCCAGCTCCACTGGGGCACTGCAGGCTCATCCCTGCTGAGGTGGCAGGGATCCCGGAGGGGGGATCTGCCTGGCGAAGGGCCAAGGCTTCGGGGGCAGAAAGGGAGAGCCCGAGGCTGCTGGCTTCACAGGCCTCACACCCAGGGACTTAGGTCTGGTCAGAAACGAAATCGAGGTCCCGCCTGCAGCAGTGAGTCCTGGCTGCATCCCCGAGAGACCCCCCCACGGTGTCTGCCCTCATGCTCTCCCTCGTGACAAGTCTCTTCAGTCCCCGGTCCCAGCACGGCCTCCCCTGGCTGAGCCCCCACCCCTCTCCCTTGTCCCCCGACTCCTGCCCCCACCTCCTGCCTGGCAGACCCCCATCCAGAGTGCTTCAGAGTTTAGAATGTTAGGCAGGTGCTCACACATGGACACGCTCCATCCCACACTGGGCACATTCTGTGGTGGTGCACTCACCCCACCCTGCCACGTGGAGACCCCACAGGCTCCCTGTGGCTTCACTGGCCTCCCTGGGCCCACTGCCCACAGCCCTGGCACCCAGGACCCACTCGGTCAAGGCCAAGTGATTTATGGAGGCCTCATCTGGCTCAAGACCCACAGTCTGTCAGGCATAGTGCCTGGCTTTCTGGCCTCGTCGGCCGCTCTGCCTGCTCAGAGGCCGGGCTGGCTCCTGCAAGGGGACCCCCTGCCCGCAGGTCCCCCCTGCCCCCCGCCAGGGCCTCAGATCCCAGTCTGGGCCCCAGGGCTCTGAGGCTGCGGAGGGTTCCAGGTGGTCCGAGCTGGGGCAGGAGCCGAAGCTCGGGAGGGCCGGACGGCAGAGGGTCCCGGGCTGCAGGGTTGCCCGGGGCCAGGGCACGAGGCGGCTGGTTGTTCAGTTACAGCCCTCCTGAGGCACGGTTACCCACCATAACACTCAGCCCCTGCAATTACTAATTTTCCATCAGTTTACAGAGCTGTGCAAGCATCATCCAATCCAGTGCCAGCACATCAGTCAGGAAAGCCAAAGCAACCGGACATAACGTATAAAGGATTTCTTTAAGGAACTGACTCATGCAATTAGGGGGCTGACAAGTGTGAAATCCAGGGCAGGGGCCGGCAGGCTGGAAACTCAGGCAGGAGCTGAAGCTGCAGCCTCGGGGTGGAATTCCTTCTTTTCTGGGAAAGTTCCCTTTTTTTGCTCTTAAGGCTTTCAGTTGGATGGATGAGGCCCACCCACCCACGTGAGGGAGAACAGTCTTCTTTGCTGGAAGTTAGCTGATTGTAGATGTCCAAGCACGCTGTATTGGGGGTCAGCACCCCGCCCCTTTTTAGAGCTGAGTACTCCTTGTGGGGTCAGCCGGTGTTGTTTATCTGCCCCTCAGTTACGGAGCTGCTCTGGACACACGTGTGCACATCTTCGTGTAAACATGTTGGCATTCTCTTGGGGAGGTTCCTGTGGAATTTCCAGACTCTTTTCCCCAGTGGCTCCACGTCCTGTGCCCCCTGCAGCAGAGCAGGAGTCTCCCGGCGCCCCCCCCACCCCCAGCCTCCCATCATCATCCCCCCTCTGGGCATGCACCATTTTTATAATAAAAGAGCAGCTGCTCTGGGTAGACTGGGATTAATACCTGGCAGTTTAGTGACCTTGACTGTCTCTCAGAGGCAAGTGTCTGCAAGGCCCGGGGCTGTAGGCCTTGCTCAGACTAGCTGAGCTTGGTGTCAGGACAGTGCTGCTCAAGGGCTCGCAGAGGGGTGGGTGACTGAGGCTGGGCCATTCCCTTCCCAAGCCATGGCCCCTCAGCTCCTGAGCAAAGGGAGCCCAGGCTCCCCGACCTGGTAACATCTATGAGGGAGGGGCGGCCAGCAGGGCCCCTCAGGAGTCAGGGACGGCACCATGGCCGTAATCACCATGGGTAATCTCGGCTCTGTAGCACCTTGGCTCTGTGGATCATCTGAGCCCTTTTTGGCCAGATCCCCCTGTTTCCGAGAAGACATTGACCAGGTCCCCTCCTCCCCTGACCCAAGGAAGGCTCTGACCAGGCATGTCCATGGGCCTAGCTGGCCTCAGAGCAGGCTGGGAGGCTGGAGGGCTGTTCCAACGGTTCCCAGTTCCCAGGGAGGGAGGGAGGCTCAGCACCGGAGGGCCTTCTCTGTAAACCCCCTCATGTTACCTGGAGCTTAAGGTCACAGGGCTTTGCTGGGCAGCTCTCTTGGTTCAGGCTGATGGGGGCTCAGTGAGCCAGGCCAGGCCTGCCTCCATAGGCTCTGGGGTCCGTCTGCTGGCTCCTTGGCCAGCTTCTGGGGACACAGGGGACTGTGCCCTTTTGGCGAGGGGGGGGGCACTGTCAGTTGAAACGTGATGTTTTCCCCTTTCCCAGGAAGTTCAATTTAGAGAGAAGGGTGCTGGTCGTGGGAGCCTCGTGGGTGAGCAGGGGCTTGGGCAGGGGCTCTGGGTGGCTCACGGGGCTCCAGGCTGCTGCAGGAGGGGCAGAGCCAGGGAGGGACATAGCGCATCTCCCCACCACGGGCCTTCAAGCAGAAGAGACGGAGAAACAGACACAGGGAAGGAGGGCACAGGCTGTCTGCCAGAGGGAGCCGAATGCAGCCAACAGATGCCGAGGGGTGGCCATATGGTGCCTGGGGGTGCGGGTTCTGCCCTGGGAGCCAAGGGTTAACGAGCTGTCCTTGGGCTGCATACTTGGCCACAGTCTATGCAGCTTTTCTTTTTTTTTTTTTTTAAGATTTTATTTATTTATTTGAGAGAGAGAGAATGAGAGACAGAGAACACGAGAGGGAAGAGGGTCAGAGCGAGAAGCAGGCTCCCCGCTGAGCAGGGAGCCCGATGTGGGACTCGATCCCGGGACTCCAGGATCATGA